GATTATGTCTCCAGAGTAAGAACGGAAAGGTAGCCTTGATGGTTCTACAGGTACGTTCAGATGTAGACGTTCAAAGTCATTCTTCGCAAGGAGAGAAAATTTAGCCCCACTGTCAACTTCAAAACATTGTAATCTTCCATTTATAGTGACAGAAACAATGTACTTGTCTGAATCATATCCAACTTCAAATAAATCTACGACATCAAAGTTCTGGTAGATCGAATCAATTTTGTGCACTCCGTAATCAGAAGAGTCGTCACTAGAATAATCGTCATCATTTGATCCTGAATGTAGGTTGTTGGTTGAATTTAACTTTGATGTTGATTTCTTAGTCCTTGACATCAGTGTAGTTATGCAGACCGCAGAGACATGTCCTCGTTTTAAACACTCCCCACATTTTAGTTTATACTTGTGTCTGTTACAATTTGCAGCAATGTGTTTGTTACTTTCACATCTAAGACAGAGGCCTTCTATTCCGAGGGCATTGAAGTCAGGTCTTTTGTTATTTGAACGTTGTTTCCAGTTGAGAGATGTCTTGTTGGATGAGCGATTGTTAGAGAACTGGTGGGATCGTCTGGAAGACCTTGTAATTTTGTGCACTCCAGCCGAATCCATATTAAAGTTGTTAGAACATGCATGTTCGTGAAATTCTTTGCTTTCAACCTTTGATGCTTCAAGAGCAATAGCTTTCTCTAGAATGTCATCAAACTTTGTGTAAACGGATTGTAAAAGGTGTTCCCTAAGCCAATTGTCCTTCAATCCTCGTATGAACTGTGCCCGCAAGAAAACATCAGCAATTGACACAGATGTTCCACATTCATCGTTGGAGCATTCAACTGCAAATTCACATTCTTGAAGATCACGTCTGAGGTCAGCCTCAAACTCTGAAATAGACTGGTTTTCTTTTTGAAAGATATTTAAGAAATAATGTTGAGCAACAACAACACTTTTATTTGGAGTCAATAGTTTCTTGAAGTCATTCAACAGAGTTTCATAATCTAATGATTTGAGTGGCTTGTCTGGCCCCAAAAATGCAGATAGGTTGTTATAATGTTCACTACCTATAGAATTACACAAGAGCTGAGCAATTTTCTTCTTATCAGTCAAACCTTTCATTGTATAATAGTTTTCGAAACGTTCTAAATAGCTGGTAAACTTTTCTTGTTTGGCATTGAAGTTTTCGAATGTAGCAACATTTGACATTGTAGATTGACAGCTTTCTTCTCTGGGTTTTCCAATTGATGTAACAATTGTTTGACTTTGAGTTGAAACATGTTTGACATCTCACGTACAAGTGTTTTTTTTTTTGTTCATTGAATGTGTTTAGAAGTAAGGTAAACTGTTGTGCATCCATTATAGTTTGAACTGTATAAAATATTAATGTATCTTGAAACTAGAAATTGAATGTAATTTTGAAAAGTAAATGTGTTGATTTTACAGTGGCTAGTTGATTTTCACACTCGTCGCCAATTAAAATGACTCTAATTAATTATAAAATAATTAATAGAAACACGCATATCCACTCAACACAAAATCTATTTCATGAATGTTTACAAAACAAAAACAATAGAAAAACATATGATAGTAAAAATTGATATTAATGAAATATTGTACAGTCTTAAAGAAGTTACAACATTAAGGAAATTGGTCGATACTTGCTACAATCATATTTGCTTCCATTCTTATGAATGGGCCTAACAATGGCATGTTTTAGGGAAGATGGAAAGCATCCCTCTTCAAAAGAACAATTTATCAGATGGACCAATGGAGCAAAAACTAGATCATATGTTTCTCTAAGAAGTCGAGAAGAAATTTCATCTGTCCCACTCGATGGTTTTGGTTTGAGTGAGAGTATGACTTCCTCTACCTCGAGTTTAAGAATTAAAGAAGCATTGTTATACATACAAAGGCCAAGGAGAACATTCCAATAAACTTTACATTTAAAACTAACATGTTATTTTTATGGAGACAAAGAATATTGTTGCAGTTTCAAGGTGCCTACAGAAATCACAGAAGTCTAAGTAAAGTCACTATTTAATTAGGGTAGAAGTCAGTAAAAAGTAACAGATTTTCATTTTAAGTTCCCACAAGTCACGAGAAAAATCGGCCATGTAGGCCTAGGCTTAAAGTTCCTCAGACTTGTCTTTTGCTTTGCATCTTGCTGCAGGCAATGATTAAATTTATAACACAAATTCTGTGAGAGCGAACATATTTTGAGGGCAGGCAACCAGCTCAAATTGTTATGGCGCAAAATATTGTATGCCCGCCCAGCTTATACTCAAGTGACTGAAAATTATTGTCTTTTACAGTATACCCTCTATAATCCGGCATTGCTCCATTGCGGCATTCCAGCAATCCTGCGTCTTTTGAGGGATATGGTCTTCCGCGATCGCGGCAAAATTTTTATAATCTTAAGCGATTATGTAGACATAACAGTTGTCTCCCGCGATGTTGGCAAAATCATGAACATCTCTAACGGTTATTTGGACATTAACATTGTCTCCCACAATCACGGCAAAATTCTTATTATCTCCCTCGGCCATGTAGACATCATCATTGACTCTCGCGGTCATGGAAACGTCATAATCGTCTTGCAAAATCACGGCAAATTCATGTATAGACATTATCATCGCCTTCTGCGACCGCAAAAAATTCTGCTTATCTCACGCTGCCATGTAGACATCATCATTGACTCCTGTCGTCACGGAAACGTCATCGTTGTCATGTGGGATCACGGGTTTCTGATCGCGCTCGATCTTTGCAGATGTGTTTAGTGCATTTTAAGTGTTCTTATTGATGACATTCCAGTAATCCGACATTTTCACTAATCTGGCAATATCTCAGTCCTATATCTGCTGGATTACTGAGAGCACTAGGTGGTACCAATTAGAGGTTGTGTTTATGTAGTTTCGTGTTTGTCCCCACCCCCCTTAATTTTGTGTCTTGGCAAATTTATTTATTTTATCCTATACTATTACAGTACACTCCCGATTAACCGAAGTTATTGGGACCGAGATTACGTCGGTTACCCAGAATCTCGGATGACACAGAATTCTCTTAGATTTTGAGGCTAGGGCCCCTAACTTAGGGGTTACGGTACCACTACCACATTAGGAAGTCAAAGACTTGTAAAGTATATGTTTTAATAACAATGCAAAGTGAATACAAAATGATCCATAATTAGTTTTTTTATAGATTATGTATTTAAACAAGGCAGTTTTATTAAATACTGTAACACAATAAGGTGGACCCCTACAGTTTTTAAAGTATAAAATTACACAACCATGTCAATATTAAGCATTGTAATGACTAACACTGACAAAAGGCGATACAAGCCGGCAAGGCGGCAATGCCCGAGCAGAAATGCTACTGCTTTTGTTGACGTTCTGCAGACGACTCGTCCAGCTAACCAAAAATGGTTAGCGGCCAAACTAGTACAATGCTAGTGCTGTGTGTGATTTTCATTTTCTAGGTTATTGTGGATAATTTGTACGTTAAAATAATACCTATAATCATTATTTAAAGTATTCATTTTAAGAAATAATTAATTACTTGCTGTTATTACTTTAGTTTCAACAGAAACATTCCTAAAAGCGTAATTATTGCTTTCCGGCTGGAAATAAAAAATCAATCTATAAAAAATCTATTAATTTGTTTTATTTTTAGTGGCATATATAATGTATTCAGTGACATTTCAATTTTTTTCTGACTCTGGCTCCTGATGGGTCAGTACTGACCCATTAGTATGACGTCACTTTTTGACGTCATCTTCACTTCCGATCGTATTATATAATTTTGTGTCAACAAGGACACAAAAAGGAATGTTATACAACAATAATGTTTTTTAGCAATACGATTCGATTTTATAATTTCCTTTAGCAGTGAACGTGTTAATCAGTCCTGGGTCTAGGTCTTTCCATACCGCCTACAGTAATTGTTTTTTCATTACACTACTATAAGTTGAGCTGTTTTCGTTACGTGTTTACAACCTGCAGAACATCATATTTTCAACAGCTGATCAATCTCCTAACAGACTGTTTTTAAATTAACATATGATCGAATGTTTATTTGTCAAACAAAAACAAAAACATTAAGTCATTGTATGTTAACAGTTTTTACAAGCAAGTCATGATATTTTTCAAGTTAATCCAAGTTTCATTTTTATGTGATTTAATGCATTTTTCATACAAAACAATGTTGGACACACCGGCATTGTACAACAGCTGTCTATTGTTTACTACCGAAAGTAACATTGTTTACAACCAAAAATTTTCCACTGTTAACAACTTCAAATATCTGTTATTGTTTTATGAACTGTTTCAATTTTCAACAACTAAAGTAAATATTCACTTTAAATTTAAGGCATAACCTAAAAAATTCTATGAGTTCTGTAATGAAGAAAATAATTATTCTTTGTAGTGTAGCTAAAAGTAACGTTCAAAACACAAGTGAAAGTGGGTCTATACATATTCTCGACCATTTAAAGTGCTCGATAAATCTATGGTCTCAAAAATGTAATGACTCACTTTTTATTCTTGTTATGAAATATACTATTTCCCCATATGGGAATTGGCCAAAAGAGAGATGGCCTGTTTTTAGAGCTTTTGGCAGTTTTGAAAAACAATTTTTTGTTTAATATTAAATGGTCTTGAAAACCAGGATTTAGGCTTTTTTAACAAAAAAAGTCAGAAAACCTGAACAAGAATCCTCATCAATGATTTTAACTTCAATTCATATTTCTAGTGCAGTTATATTATAACTTTTACTGACTGGCAACTCCTCTACTGATTGCCAGCAGTACTAGCAGTCCCTCAACCCTCCATTTACTGTGTTATTCAATTTTATTCATTTTCAGTTTTACTTCCATAAATTAAAATAGGTTTTTCATGTATATTTTTATAATGATGTTTATGCTGCTTTTAACACTGATTATTCAATCTAAGATTACCATGTAGTTAGTTATCTTCAACTAAACTAGCATTGTGTATTGTTATTCTCAGGAGGTGCCGAGGTCTCGTCAAGTAGGCAGAGCGTTCAGTCGCTCTCCTCCAGACATCAGCTCTATATCTCCTCCTTCTGTAAGTCTTTACACCTTCAAAAATATATTTGTCTACAACAGCGCAGTCGTCATTGACAGTGGCATTTTGTCCTCTTGATCAGCTGATTCCTCAACATTTTACTTTGTCCATTACTTTGTTTGCTCCCAATGACAAGGCAACTGAACAAAACAACATTTATGCCTACCCATGGAGTAACAGTTTGTTATAGAGGTGTGCGGATAGTGAAATTTCATTTCGGATCGGATAGTTGAGGCTCGGTTCGGATCGGATCGGATATTGGGAGGTTCGGATTCGGATATTTTCGGATTCGGATAGTTCGGCGCGGATAATAATAAGCTGCATATGTATTTTTAACCTATAAAACAACGTAAAGCTGTGTAAATAAACTTAAATGACGATTTTGAACTATAGAATTTCAAATTAGCCAAGTCCACAGTTTTCTCTCTCTTTAAAATCACAATTCACAACATTTATTTTCAAAAGTTGGTTGCTTGAATTAAGTACACTAGCAGCCAAAATCTTCACACAACACCTTAACTCAGCAGGACTGATGTCAAACGTTTGGGCCTGTTTACTTGAGGTTATGTTTTATCTTGTTTCCTGGTTCTCACAAGCCAAGGAGTTCGATCTCAATATTATTTTCACATTGTATTTCCTTACGTTTTTGGAACGGATTATTGGCGTTAAGTGGCATTTTGCGGGTTTGCCATGTTTAGAAAACATCACTAATGCACTAAGATGGGCTCTAGCTCACGATTTGATGTTGGGCAATTAAATTAGACTTTATAACTGTGTAAAAGGTGTGTATACCTGAATTTATAAATTGCATTCTACACTTATGCACTGCCAAACATAATTCAGTAGAACCTTGATGAACCGAGAATTACACTAGCCTACATAACTTCATTACCCCAAGTAAAATACCAAGATAATTTTTATAATTGTATTTGAATCGTATAATCTTAGTTTGTTAAAAATGGATTGTATGTTCAACAATAATACCGAAACCCCGGTCTGACAGGCCCACGGGAATTTTCAAAAACGCATGTTGGCAACACTGTTTACTTGGTAGATTCCATTCCCCCAATACCTTCCCCCCTTTTCCTCCCCTACCTATTGATATATCATTTGTTCATTTTGCATGGGTGCCGTGACCTTGACAGGTTGTCTGTTCATAACATGTCCGTCTCAGAAGCCCAGCGTTAGTGTATTTTAAAGCGGGGTCTCACAGACCGGGGGTTTCGGTTAACGTCAGCCTAGGTGGGGTTTCGGTATTAGTGTTAAGCAGTATGGTCCCAAAATATTGTTTTTGATTTTGAAACATCACAGTTCATTTGACAAAATTATAGTTGAAGCAGCCCAATGTCAAGTCACGCTTGTGCAATAGTTTGTTTACAAGCTTTCTCCAGACCACGGGGGAGGGGAGGGTCTGATAAGCCGTCTATTGTTCACCCCCAAGAAGGTCCGACCCTCATTAGTGCCGCTCGGCTGCACTCAGTGGGGAACCCAATACCACAAATCAATCTTTTAAATGAATACAAATATTTGGTAATAATTGTTTTATTAATATTCACCTTGAAATTTCAATAAATTTGGTGTAAAATTTGACAAAAATCGGCCATTTTGACCGATTATTAATACAGTACCAAATACCAATAAAGTAGTACATTCATTGGTAATTAACCCTAGCAGTGGCCAACCGTCGTCTGGTTACGGTATGACGTTGATGCTTAGAATGGCCAAAGTCGTCTGGTTACGGTATGGGCCGAAATTTTTTTAACGGTAAAAAAAACACTTACAATCAACTCAGATTAGAATAATATATATACCATTCGAAAGATCACATTCTGAACTTTCATTTGATTACATAAACAAACCCTGTAGCAGGTATATAACAATGTCACGACGATTAGAAATCAAATGAAATTTTGGCGCGGTACGACTTTTGCAGCCGACACTTGGGAACTGGCAAAACACGTCTTGTTTGGCATTACCCTGCTCGGGTAATTTTCGTCTTGGGATGTTGCGGGTGATACCACTGGATAGCCATTGATTTTATCTTCATTGTGGTAGTGATATTTATAACTAAATATTGATTGCACAATCGGTACGATTTTATGAAAACAGCTGTTTTCGAAATTTCTAACAAATGGCCAACAGTCGTCTGGTGACAGTATGGAAAATACGAATTATATACAGTGAAAGTTATTATTACTAGTCATATAGTATATCATTTTGAAGAGGAAGAAATTTAGATTCAGAGAGTGGCAGCCCTGCACTCAGGGTTATTTCTGTATGCTCGCATGTAGACAGTGATGTAGACGACGGAAGTGAGTCATTACTGCCACAGTCTGTCAGCTGTCTTGTATTGCCATTGTTTGTTTGTGTTGTTGCCGTAATAGTTTTATCCGCGATTTATTACTAAATATGTTATTAGTTCGTAGTGTTAGTGTAAGTGAAGTGTTGTGTGTGTGTATAACAGTTATCTTCATGCATAAATATTACTGAATTGTGTGGAATAGTGTTCATAAAAGGTTGTATTTTGTTAGCATCATGTCCTAAAATGACGATTCTGACATTCAGAGATTGTTGTACCTATATAATGATATACCCAAGGTGTTATACATTTTTATAAAGGTAAATGAATACACTACAACATGTTTATAATGGTTCGGGGGTAAACAATTTTGTAAAAAAGTTATAGCCTATACTAAATAGGCCTACTACTGTAGGCTATTTTGTTAGCATCATGTCCAAAAATGACGATTCTGACATTCAGAGGGGTTATAATGATTTACCCAAGGTGTTATACATTTTTATAAAGGTAAATGAATACACTACAACATGTTTATATTGGTTTGGGTGTAAAAAATTTGGTAAAAAATTATATAGGCTACTAAATACTGTACACTCCATTTTCTCGAAATGCGCAAAAAATTCAAAACGTTCTCAAATTGATAGGCCTACATAATCATAGGTGAAAATAACTTTTTACCATCATACTTATGACTTTTTTGGATTCCTTACTTCATTGGCTTTACAAATATGTAGGCTACATATCATCAGCCTACATAATGTTTCACAACACAAGCAAACACTGTAGGCTATAGTTTACACTTATTTGCGGTTTTGCGGTTATTGTATTATTATGTCCCTATTACGTACCTACAAAAAAAATATTTCTAACATGTTATACATTTTTATGTTGGTAATTGAATACACTACAAGATTATTATGTTGGTTTGAAGTAAAAAAATTTGGTACAAAAGTTGTATACTAAGTACTGTGAATTTTGTTTTTCGAGAAATCGCTAAAATATATAAACATTATTTTATATACGTATGTTTATAGGTAAAAAATTATTTTTACCATAAACTTTATGACTTTTTTTGATTCCTTACTTCATTAGCTTTACAAACATGTATATATCATTATTAGTATACACATGTATTATAGAACTTTTTACAACATAAACTAACACTGTACGGTTCTCAATTTTTTCGGTTCTCCGTTTGTTATTATATTTCGCCCCAAAAACTTATAAAAAAAAAATATTTTCCTAACATGTTATATATTTCTATGTAGGGAATTAGATTTTCTACAAAATGTATATAATGAATTTCCCATAAAGAAATCCGTAAAAAAAAATACCAAGGCCGCTTTTGAAATTTCAAAAAAAAAAATTCAAATTTTTTTATTTTTTTCACTTTATCGATAAAATACACTGTCTAAATCATTATGATATTACTATTTCTAGATTCTCCTGTTCTTTCCGAACAAAATGAATATGAGGTTGGCTAGGTTTACTTGTACGGTTGAATTTTTACGAATTTTCAAAAAAAGGTCTGCAAAATCGCCAAAATGGGTTGGCCATTCCCCACTTCTAACATTGGCCACTGCTAGGGTTAAATAATAGGTAAAAATTAACCGATTTTCGTCAAGTTTTACCCTCCTGCTGTGCGCTATGTCACAAAAGCTGATAACAACATGGGTGATTAGTAACCATGGCAACTTGTTGAATGCGTGATGAAGGGAAACCCAAGAAATAGACGAACAAAGAGAAAAAATAACGACATTGTTATCTTTATACCCTTTTTACAATTTTCGTTATTGTTATATTTATGTAAGATTTTATGATTTTGTTTTATAGGTTTATAAAATAATTCTTTTTAACCACGGGAATATCAATTTATAATTTATCAATGTGCTTCTCTTCTGAAACAGCAATACCGGATGCATAATAAAGGTCAATGACCAAAAATATCACGATTGTGCAATATTGTATTTTGATGTTGAAATTAAAATCACGACAAAAGTTTGTATATATCCATGGTCCCTATTGTTTAATCATTTAATATGTACACCATCAATGCTAAATAATCGTGGTTAGTTCTAACTTTATTTTTTATTATTCAAAGTTTCTACACAGTAAGACAATCCAAAGTCAAACCGGGCAATGAATACCCAAAAAACAACGTATCTTGTCCTGTGATTGGAATACCACTTGCCTGCCAGTCCTTTAGGTTTAGGGAAGTAGTGCAAGTCTATATATAGCTTCAAGGTCTTACCCAACCCTTCCCTCTCCGGTCCTACTTGACTCACTACCCGCGCTCCTTTCGAGGTCATTGTTCAACCCCTCCCACCCTTCTGTTGTGTTGCCTTTCTATTGTTTCTATTCTGACTTTTTTTTCGGGAAACATTAAATCTATTGTTTACGTAACATCACAGTAGTAGGCTAGATTTTTCTACTTTGAAACAGTACTGTAAAAAAAAACTATTACGCAGCGCCCCTAATCAGGAGCGAGACATGCACGAGTTGACTTTCATTTGACCATGGTAGTTCTTTTCTGCTTTATGTCTGTTCGTTCCAGACGAATCTAATCGTAAAGCAAAACAGCCGATAACGACTAAACTAGTTATCAGTATTGCATCATACGGCTTCTTTGCCGTTTGCTGTTAGGTCGTTGGAAACGTATTGCTGTAATTTTGTCCTGGGAAACTAATGGTGGCTATGGAGATTTAGTTTTCTGTCCAAAAAACGTCAAAATATATTGTCTATCCGAAAAAGTCGGATATATAACGGATAGTGTCGGATATCGAATTTGGGCCCGGTTCGGATTCGGATTTCCGAACCGAACCGAATCCGACCCGATTTTTCGGATATCCGCACACCTCTATTATTATATCAATGCTACTTAACCATTTATTTGTTATTTTTGGACAAGTAGGCCTAATATAAAAAAATAGCTTGCAGATCAAGCTGTTTTTTATTGTTTGAAGACCATTGTATTCAATAATGTTTTATTCAATTTTGGTACAACTAAAGTAAGATTTTTTCTCATAATGACAACTGTAGATAAAATGTAGCTTGTATGAAAAGAGTCTTTTTTAAACTCAAGACACTCAAGACTTGTTGAGGTGCCACTCTGCAATAACTACTAATGTTTCATCTGACTGTGTGTGCAGGTACAGTTTGTGCTGGGTACGCCTCCAGGATCTCGCAGACCTGTGGCTGAGACTCCTCCTCCAGTCAACACATGGACCGTCACTCCCACCAGCTCTCCTCTCCGCAAGTCTGGTGAGTTGTGGTGTATATACAGTAACTAGCTGGTTTGCACTACTTTGGTTTTATTTTTGTGCGCTCTGCAGAAGTGCTGTCAACTTGAACCCAGCATATCACACTTCACATGCTTAACACATACAATATTTTATGTGAACGTCTTCATAAAACATTAACATTGTTCAAATATTTTAATTTTATATCAGCCTTGACACCTTTAATATTTTTTTTTTTACTATAGGTAAGATTCACTTACTTTTGCCTGAAGGTGTCAGATGTTAACATACGCTGTACATGTTTCGAGCTACTTACAGCTCATCTTCAGCAGCATTCTTGAATTTAAAAAATCACATCAAACGATGTTTGTCGACTATTTACAGTTTATATATACACACACGAACACACGGAAATATATACAAAGAACATACACGCGTTTTGCAGTTGTAGGTACCGTAAACATGTTTGCGTACGCACGGTTAAATGAAGATAACCTCGACCGGGCGACATTTGTAGGCCTACTGAGGAACGTGTCCTCTCATATGGAATTATTTATTTTCCAACATATGAGAGGACACGGCAATGAAACTATGTTAAATAAAAGAGAGGAATATTCAGACAAAATCACCTATCAGCTGTTCTGTGATGTAGATAACAAAACTGGAAATAAGAACCGCCAGTCAGCTGATACCGTGACGTCACTCTCCCGTGTTCAAGTTCAAGTTCCTCAGTAGGCCTACAAATGTCGCCCGGTCGAGGTTATCTTCATTTAACCGTGCGTACGCAAACATGTTTACGGTACCTACAACTGCAAAACGCGTGTATGTTCTTTGCATATATTTCCGTGTGTTCGTGTGTGTATATATAAACTGTAAATAGTCGACAAACATCGTTTGATGTGATTTTTTTAAATTCAAGAATGCTGCTGAAGATGAGCTGTAAGTAGCTCGAAACATGTACAGCGTATGTTAACATCTGACACCTTCAGGCAAAAGTAAGTGAATCTTACCTATACCGTAGTAAAAAAAAAAAAAAAAAAAAAAAGTTATAATATTTTCAAAAAAATAGAGTAGCCACTCTTTTTATCCTGGATTTGTAGACCCCTAGTTATATTTGTAAAGAGGGGTTGTGGACATATCTGCCATTTTTCTAGATATCCACATACTTGTAGTAGATATTTGCTAGGGTCCTTTTGTTACAATAAAAAATGTTTGTGCACTATCCAAGTAATTTTTTTGTTTTGTTCATTATAAGTAGAAATGTAAAATAAAAGTGTCATAAATTAAAATCAATTTTTTTTTCATTTTACAAATGCCCATTTGTTAAGGGTTAAATACAAAGCCAGGTTTGAAAAAAATCATTGAAAGGTACAATTTGATTACTTTATTACTTGTTTGAATCATGCAGCAATATTTTAAATAAATAAGTTCTTGATAAGCACAAGTTGGTTCTATTTTAAAAAGGGGCAAAAGGATGAATTAATAAATAAACAACAAACTTGAGTCATCTATAATTCCGCCAAAACTTATTAAGAGTAACTTTATTAACTAAATAAGGACGCTATTTTTATTCTCTCAGTTTTCTTATTGGACCTGATAATGATTGTGAGGTTTACTGCCTTTTAAATGTTAACAGTGTAATTTAGATGTATAAAGTGTTGGAAGACATTCCTATAGTCCGTGAGGTTGGTGAAGGACTCTGAGGGATTAATGTCCCTTCCACCAATGCACGCACACTCGCAAGTAGGGCCCTACCACGGCTCGTGACCCAAGTGTGTGTGTGTAGATGTGTCTCTGTGTGTGTGAGGGCTTTAATCCCTTAGAGTCCTTCGCCTACCTCACGGACTATATATAGTATTCTGTTGTAATTGTACAATTTAAATATAAACTGAGTCCGAGGCAAATATAAAATTTAAGTTAAAATGTTTAAAAATGTATTGAATATTTATGCATGTTAGTAGACATGTTATTTGTTGTATTGCACTTCCTCATGCATGATTGTGCGTTTTCACTGATCCAGACCAATTATTGCCGAGGCCAACTGTTTATTCCAAGCTGTTTGCATGGTACCGCACCCTTACAGACTATTTCTGAGCTGTGCAGTGTGTCTCCGTGCATGCTACTTTGACTCATCTCTGCTCAACTAGTCGTCAACTCTGTTAAACAGATTTAGTTTATTGTGATTATGGTGCTGTGTTGTGTGTTAGTCAGCAATATTAATACTGCAGCTTACTGCTTACTATACAAATTGCTCAAGAAGTTATGTAGGTAATAGTTATAGTTTAAAATATTTGATAGTGGATTGAAACGATATGTTTAGGGCTTTTAATGACAAATAATTGGGGTTTGTATTGAATATAACAAAATCTATTTTTTATGTTTAGCTATTTACCTTCTCACTATTACATTATTTAAGCTTTTTGAAATTGCTGTATTCCTGTTACTGAAATCTGTGTTTATGTCTAATAAGTTATAATTTAACTACATTTATTAAATCAAAATGGTCTAAAGTACACTGTGGATTTTCATTATATAATTATTAACAAAGTATGGTATAAAATATAATTAATTATTATTAATTTATCAAACTATTTTGTATAACTCAATATGTATGTGTCTTTCTTTAAATCCATGTTATAACAATCATAAAATAAATCAATTTAAAATATATTTTAAATACCGTATTTAATTAGCCCCTGTTCTAAATCAATATTTATATAGATTGTTTCTCTAAAATTTATAAAAATAGTTTTAATAGTGTGTATATTTTTAAAGTATCAAAATACTAGTGACCGGTTTTAATTAGTTATCAAAGTTATTTAAAGTCAAGACTGTTATATAAATTGGACTTATGGAATTGGTTTAAGAAATTGATACCTTCCAAGCAGAATGATTAAGTAACTTTTTTTGTTTTATCTCATTATAAAATTGTGCATTTCTGTAATAATGTTATCGTCTGTGTAATGTTCACAAACCCTCTGACTTGATCTAAGTTTTTAGTTTAGCTGGAATTTGCATTGGCTTGTATATCTCATTAGACCTCAGTAACCCACTACAGAACAACTAGAACAAAAGCAAAACACAAGCAATCTGACAAAACTGCTTGTTAGTGCATTGAAACCATAGAACTATAAGCATAGAACGCTGAGTCAATGTAGCGAAAGCGAGTTGGTCGCGGAAGGGCTCCTTCCCCCACAAGTCAGAGAACGGAGTGGCACTGCCCCATGTATTACAATGGGCGTGTTACGTTTTCAACACATTTCGTTAGATTTTCAGGCTTTTTTATGATTATTAAGATCTTGAATGTAGTTTTTTTATTGTTGTGTGATGATTCCCTTGAGACACGATTGAAAATACTAAAGACTTACTTAGTATTTGAATATATTAGAAACTCACTTATTTTTCCAAGTAAGTTTTATTGTTTGTGAAAAATCCCAAACCAGACATGAAATTACATAAAAAACTAAACAAAACATTTTGAAAAAGTACAACTTTATTTAATTTTGACAGCTTTAACCTTTATTTTTGCTTGGTAAATTGTTCCATAAATATAATAATTCTGGGGAAAATCATGTAACAGCTTGGTACATTTGTTGTACTTCATATATTTCTTATTTACCTTTCTTACTACAAAGCAACTAATGTAATGTGGAATGTTTCTTCTGTAATAGCTGATTTCTGACAATTGATTTAATTGTTCTATGGGTTCTATATCTTCATCATGCTGGTATTATTATTTAATTAGGAGTATGGAAACTTAATACACAATTTTGAATGTTCATCAAAATCCAAACACTTACTCCCAAACAGAGGGCTTAACTTGGTTCCTAAACATTATAAGGGTCATTGTAAATTCAACTATGTTGCGGTTATCATTACGCCCGACCCTGGTTCGTATACAAGGGAAAAATAGCTCTAAATGATATTATAAAAGTTTGTTTTTTAGATATACTTAAAATTTAAGTTACTAGTTAGCCTTTTACTTGACAATTTGATTAAATAATTGCAAGTTAAAATACCCCCGCCGCAGCAAACCTGCAGACTAAGTGAATTTCCATTTACCGGGCTGGTTTTCTACTAAAATATTCATTGTCAGATTTGTTTCCTATTTAAATAACATTAATTTTAATGAGTACTCAGGTTTGATGCTACAGGGAAGGTATTGAGGTAATTATTTATTGAAATGTTGGTAGCTTAGTATGAAATAAATAAAATTGCCAAATTTGATTAAAATATAGCCATAAACAAGCAAACTACAACAGTGTTTTATTCTCCATAAGAATAACATGGGAATTTTTATAATTTACAATTTCTTTGAATTATCTTCGTAACCGTTAAGCATACAACAACACTTCAATATACAAAAATTTTTTTTATCTCTACAAAATAGTATCAATTCTTAAGGTGACGAAATATAGAAGGCTGTGGAATACGACAGACACAGATTCGTTTGCTTGGTTCAATTCCTTCGTTCCACAAAGTAGGGTTATGTACAGCAGACAAAAATGTTGACAGATAGGGCTGGATCAAATTGGGGGAAATACACGTAGTTAGACGAGGTAAATTGTATGTTAATGGTTTAACACATTTATCTTACTTCCAGATTTGCGATCCAATACAATATGTTGTTAAACTTGACGTATGTTACAAATATTTAAGCAGAAATAGATGTCACAGTACAAGCAAGACAAATCATAAGTACTAGCAGCAGACGAAAAAAATATATACTTGCCATTTGAAAATTTTGAGCTACCCCATACCCCCACGACCCCTAAGGGCAAAATTTTCAAAATTAACCATCATTATTGTAGTCCCTCATATCTAAGAAGGTTGCCGCAAACCAATTTCAAATATCTTAAATGGCTGAAAAATTAAGGTAGAGTGTAAGTTACTTTTCAGTCACCCTGTATTATCTTCATATTATACATTATATTTAGTACTATAATTGGTCCAAACGACTTCTGCAACTGCGGCAAAAAGACTATATTGTCCTCGGTCATGACAAAATCACAAATGTGTGTCTTTTGTGTCTGCGGGGTCATCCATCATCTTTGTCTCCCGCGGTCTCGAATCAATAGTGGTTATCTTTCGAGATCGTTCTAGCAATCGTAAATATCTCCTACGTTCACAGTGGAATAGTGAACAACTTTCCGTCTTTCGCAGTATTTGTTGTTATTGGTGGGAGTGGTACTGATTGCTCTGTATATTTTCAGTGCTTAGCTCTCCCATTCTGACGGGTCATACCAATACCATCAACAGCAACAACATGCTGCCGTTGGTGCCTTTCAGTTCCCGAGCCATCACCTTGCCTGGTTAGTATTTATTTATTTATTTCCATTCCAACGGCCAAAGACCATTACAAAAATGATAGGTAATGATTATTACAATATCACTACAATAATACAGTATAAGTATTGCACTGTCAGATCAAGATGTCAAGTTGCCAGTCGACTTGGATCTTGGATGCCTCATTGCCTATTAAAATACAGACTCCTGATTGATTATAATAACTGAGTGACCCGATTTGTTGTCAATGTATAGTCATCTAAATGGTTCAATAGATTCAAGATTCAAATAGTCTTTAATTAATATATATATATAAAACATACATGTATCTGAATAGAGTCCAAATTTACATATAAATCATATACATTAAAACATAAATCTACGCAAATGTCCCTTACGAAAAGTAAATGGAAATTCAAATGAAATATTTTTTTGATAAATACTATTTCAAATAAAACCTTTAGGCCTAGTTAGAAAAATAAAGTCACCTGAATTGTTTTTAAAATACATTCACCTGATTGGCTGTCAAATCAGAGTGATTGATTGGATTTCTAAATAGCCTATAGCCCAAGCAAAGTACCTAGGAAAAATAGAGGAACAAATCTATGTATTCCCAATTTGTTCAAAAATCTGTCTGGGAGGGTCCCCTAATGAATATATGATAGGTGAGAATAAAATCACCCTGCCGCTCTGGGTGGGGGGGAGGTGGGAGGGGTAAATGCCCCAATTTGCGGTTTTTTGCTTATAACTTGAAAACGGCGTGTCGTAGTTTAAATTGTTCAGTATAAAAGTTAAAGCTAATTAAATTTGCAACAACTTTGATCGGTGAAAAACGCATAGTTTCAGAGATATCCGCGCTCAAAAAGATATAATTTTCGAAAACAGATTTTCACCTAACATTTTTCTTTAAAATCTGAATTTTTTCTCCTTCCTTGTTATTTTTTCAGAAATATTGACTGAAAGAAAGTTGTAGAGAATTAAATTTACTTCAATAATATGTACACATATGTAAATATATATGATGTAGGTCAAAGTTACAGCGTTTTTAAGATTAAAGAGAAAATCCTGAATTACACAAATAGTTGCAAAGTCTTGTTTTTTATCATTGCACGATTTGTATGGTTTCTTATAATTGTTTAGGCCAAACATGAGTATATTTACGGTTAAAATTTGTAATAGTTATGTAAATAACAATGTGACAAAATAAAAAGGTTATATTGTATTTATTACGATAATCCAAGTTAAAACAATTAAAACTTATAATCAATTCATATTTAAAAATTGAACTAATGTTACCTTAGCCTTAGTCCTTGCAAGAGCAAAGGCTAAGGTAACATTAGTTCTACAGGGTGTTCCGTTACTCTCTGGACACATGTATATAGTGTTATTGCTCAGGTCAAGACAAACACATTTCACCATAGGAATATGTGTCTGTAGTGCCTAGTTTTCCGTCTATCTGTATTTATGTGTTTTGTACAAAACAAATAATAATGTAACCATTATGTTGGTAAATCTGTGGCTCAGTTGGTAGCGTCGCGGACTTCGGGCCCAAGGCAGTAGTGTCGTGGGTTCGGATCCTGGTCACTGCCACAAACTTTTATCAGTACAGTTCACCTTTGTACTTTCCCGGCTCACCCCTTGCTTTGGTGGATACGTTCCACGCACAGATCTGTAGTCTATGTGGACGGGCAAATGCAAGATTCCGCCAACCTCTTATTCCTTTTTTTACAGATTAGCTTCTGCAAAGAGCGGTTTGCAAGATATGGGATACCTGAAGTAGTGGTTGCAGACAGTGGCACACCACTCAAAGCTCAAAGTTTCAATAATTTTGCACAAGACAAAAGTAACATTCAGGAGATAAAAAAGCAATAATCTATCTATATATTTAATACGCTAGGCATATTTTTGTCATAATTGTTTTGGAGTGGTGGTGCTACCGATCACCATGTTCAAGGTGTCGTTAGAAAGGTCTTAGCATGTAGTTTTCCCTCAAACAAAAAAACTTTGGAATTCCATCAGGGCTCTGCCCCAGTGGCCTTCAAAGTTCCCATGTTATTCTTAGGGAGAAAATGTTTGTTTATATTTGAACAGATGAATACTTTGAAATTGACACTAATATTTGAAACAGATGGTTATACTAAAATTTTGCACAAAATCAAAACATAACCAAAAAAACGTTCGACATAGTAGAGTGGAGACCTCTAATAGAGTGGATAATAGAGTGGTTATATCTAACATCAGAAAGAGACTGGAACAAGATTGGGAGATGGGCCATTATGAAACACAGTTTGTCACAGGACATTGAAAATATCAAGGCGATTTTGTGAAGACTTCACCTGGTGGAAGAGGAAGTATGTAGATGTGGAGAAATAAAAACCACGAGTCACGTATTTATAAATTGCTCACTTCAGGAGACAAATAGGTGAGAACAAGAATATGTCTTGGATAAGATAGGCCTAGAGATGAGAAAATAAAACATGATGAGTGACAAGGAAGCAATTGAGGCGTTTAGAAAAGTAGCTAGGGAAATAGGAAAAGACAAAGAATGCAAACAGGCATTAAAATTTAAAAAAAGAAACAAACAAAAACTAAGAAAGAAAAGGTATGAAAACTTGCCCATCAGAGAGGCTGGGAGAGGAAAGGTTAGAGCGAATCTCAATGATCCCTATCGTTCAGGGTGGTATGGGGAAGAGAGTCGTCCTGGCTTTTGGACACACAATGTGTCTGGAAACCCAATGCAGCTATGAGTAAAGCTATTTTTGTAGAAAACACTATTTACAATAAACGAGGTGTTAGCCCGTCCTATGTACGGGAGTAGTCAGTTAAAACTTTTGTGTAAAAATCAGAACAGCTAGCTTACACGTAGGCTATAAAGACAAATTTTATTGCAGCCTACATTAGAAAGAGTAATTATCAATTGAGAAAGTGTATAGGCCTAGTCAACGATATCACCTTCCAATTTCATCGCATACCTGCCTCTTCCATAATCAATATCAACACAATACAATTACTCATACTATACACAATTTCCAGTAGGTCTGAATAGAAACTCCCTAAAATAAAACGAAAACATCCAATAAAATTCACAGTACACATAATTATTATTAACGTTGGTTTCCTGACATCATTAAAGGAATCGTCCACACATATCCTTTGTATCAATTTTACTGCATCAATTGCTAAATAAATTAGTGTAAACAAAGAAAAGTAAAAACAACAACATATAGTTTGTTTTGGTAAACAGCTGAGTCAAAAATTAAATAATATTCATTTGAACAAAAGAACTGGTCACATGTTGAAGGAATTTAAAACGTAAAAAACGCTAGTAAAGCTAGTGACGTAATTAATTGTCTATGTTTATTATCCATTCCGTTATCAGTTCTAATATCCTTAATAATTAAACCACCCTCATTGAATCATGTACATCGTAATTCCCCATATTCATTTATTTAAACTATAAAATATTCAGCGCCTCCAAACGTAACCACAATTAAACACACGCCAAACAACTTTTTAGATTTCATAAAAAGATGGTTAGTCTAATTGCAGTATCCTAGGTCAATGATGATGTTGTGCTCAATCTATGTCATTCATATCTGTATATCTTTGGATAAAACCCGTCCGGGTTGTGGTGGTAATTTAAAATTTGATTCCTGAGGATTCTTGATCTCCTTCTTTATGACATCAATATTTCCGGGCCTAATCCAAACAAAGTTTAATCATTCAAAAACATTGATTGTAAACAAACCAAGATGAATTAAAACAAGTAAAAAATTGATTTTCCTACCCTTTCCTAAAAAAGTTGAGCAGTATAATAATTTGCATATCCTTTTTTAAGACTTGTGTACAGAGCCTCGACTTGTATACATCGATGGTGTTACTTTTCTCGGTGGTCTACTAATCTTACTTATTTCCTAAAAATCAATGAAAAATCAGAGTAAATAAAATAACCTCATAGTTCTACAGAGCATATTTATATTTAACCAGCTGTTAGTTAAAAGAAATTTATATTGCACTAAAACAAACCGAAGATTACAAAGATTTATTTAAAAAATCCTTTGAACATCCTAGTATTTTACCTATGCATATTTAAATAATCTGTCATCCTCTTACCGAAGGATTGAACGTATCAATGATTAGCATTACACATAGTATAAATAAGTCAACCCTTAGTATGTCTTTTAATTTTATCCAAATGCTGAATTTGTGTTACAAACGCTGAATGTTTACAGCTGTTAGGTTAAACAAATTATATTACACCAAAAGCTAGTTTAGAATCTTAGCGTCGGCTGCTAGACTTTTCAAAAATTAAAACTTAATTTCTAAACAACTGGGACCCTAAACTAAAATGATGGCTTCGACATTCCCTAGTTCTCAAAATTATCTTTCTTTCAACACAAAAATCATGAAAATCCGTTAAGTGGTTGATTCAGAATCGTGAAATAAAAAAACACTGTTTCGTTTTAATATTATAGATGTTGATTATATCAATCTATTATGGACATCTTTAGTATTTCCATAATCTTTGAGTAGAATATTTTAAAGTCATCAGAAATTATGACTGTTATTCGTTTTAAAATAACGCCTGTAATACTTAGCAATTGCTCGAATCCGAGCAACAGGTACACTAGTATATACTAAACTCGCCTTTGGCTCGCTGGGGGCTCCGCCCCCAGGCCCCCTTTTTGGTTGGGGGTAAGTAAAGATGAGCCAAGCCCCCTTGCCCCCACAGGGCGCAAGACCTACAATCGGGCCAAATTTCAGACATCCAGTTAATCTAGAAATGGGTAAACGTGATTTAGACTTACGCACCTGTAAGAATAGCATTGGGGCAGGGGAGGATATAATATTAGGGAGGGGGGGGGGTTGGAAATACGATAGGGGGATTAAACTTTAAGTAAACCAGAGTATATACAAAATATTAATAATGTTTGCAAAAAGAATTTACTTAGATTGGGAAAAGTAGCGAAAATTGGGGAAAAAATTTTGTAAGTACAAATGTGTCACAGGGGGACAGGGTGCAAAT